ATAAGAGTGTGGAGTCGACCCCTAATAACGATGAGAACAGATATGAGATGAGCTATATATCTAACCTCAAGAGAAAGACTTATTACACGGTTATCCTTCAGGCCTACAATAGCATAGGCGCCGGTCCCCGATCTGATGAGGTATTCGCGAGGTTTTGTTTGAAATTTTTAAAAGATATTGAATTTACTCTGAAATTAAAGATCAAAGTACTGACACTCGAGTCCCAACCCCCGCGATCACCACTACTTGAAGTGGTCACCACATCCGTGGACTCCATAACACTTCGATGGGATATCAATGAATTGGATTCAGAGGAGAAGGAGTTTGTGTTGCATTTCAAGGAGGAAAAGGCGATTCAGTGGACACAGAAACGGCTCAAAACAAAACGCAATCACTTTGTGTTGGATTCAAACGACGGCAAAACTGTCGTTAAATGCGGGACCAAATACTTGCTGTACATGACGGCCACCAATAGCTTGGGAACGGGAGAACCAAGTGAGACATCCCTTACCCCATGAATCTATTCATTGATAATTAAAACGAATTTTTGTGTTAAAAGGCGAAACCATAACGACATCGACTAAAGGTGCGGCTCCGGTATCGCCGTCAAAGGATGAGTTCATTTACCCAAACTCTACGTCAGTGGCCCTCAAACTCAACAGTTGGCTGTCCGGCGGATGTCCTATCAATTTCTTCACCATTAAATACAAACTCTCACATCAAAGGCAGTGGATTATCTTAAAGGAGAAGCTGTCCAATAGATACGACCCGTTCCTTATCTATCAATTAAGTCCCGGACATGAATACGATCTCTATGTCGGCGCCCACACCGACGCCGGTATTCATTCATATGATTATCATTTTAATTGAAATGAATTCTCAAATATTTTTCTTTCATCTTAAAGGCATCACAGAAGCCGAGTATCGGTTCATAACTCCCAACACATCTCTAGTGATAAAAATTGGTTCAATAAACCCGCCGACAAGTGTGGTCTCCCAGTCGACGGCCTCCCTCTCCCTCTTCTAACATAAGGCCAATACGTTGCCAGTGAATCACAGACACAAAATTGAGCCATTAATGAACGGAGTCGGAGGCAAATTGCATATCAGTGTCGTCCATAAGGCACTGGATGCTGGCGAGTACATCTGCACTGTTAAGGGCCCTAATGGTAAGGCAGTGAAGGGAAGTATTATACTTAACGTACGGCTGGCCCCGCAAATCGACGAGCACTCGCTGCCCAATCACATCAGCACTAAGCAGGGGATGCGAGTGAAGCTCATGTGCTCTATCGTCGAGGGCGACCCTCCCATCGACATCCGGTGGTTCAAAGGCATCGCACCAGTCGTGGCCACCGAAACCATTTCCCTCCAGAACTCCGAAGACTATTCGCTGCTCACCTTCAAGAGTGTTACTCATGAGGATATGGGCAACTGGTATGTCATATATCCTGACCCTTGACATTATAGCCACCACTGATCATAATCCAGTCCTACACCCAATTACCACATTTTAAACATGAGTTATGTGTGACATTACAGCAATTTATTCTGTGTTAAGGCCTTTACATTGAAATATAATTACAAAACATATATAGAATTGATTTCTTTATGCCTTTCCTATTCTTGTCTTGTGTTCGCATTTTATTTGTCATTTGCAGTCCTTTCATGTCTTGCGATACTTTTTGACTATAATTTTGTTACAAGAATTAGATTTCTTTGAACTTAGAAAATAGGAATTCATTCTGAAAAAATAAATTAAAAGTTAAAGTCAGGTCTCAAATACTGTATTCCTTTGTGAGTATTACTTAAGAGTCGTTACTTTCATTTATAGTGGGATATCGAGAGCGAACTTTTAATTGAATGATATGTTATACGATTAAACTTTTGCTTTTCATTATATACCTCATCGCAAATTCATTCATTACAGAATTTTCTCATTTTTGCCAATTTATCAGATATTTTCGTATTATTTATATAATGGTATTGTTTTTCCCGTTAGAAACTTATTGTGACAAATAATATCAATAAATTGTTATTCAATGCAATGAAGTGTTTGACACAAATGTCTGTCACTTTTTTACTTATTCAAGGAATAGCTGTTATTTATGTCAATATAATGTCTTTCCATTCTTTGCTCTGAAGGACGTGTAAGGCTTGGAATGACGTGCAGAGCACTAACCGAACGGTGCATTTGGTGGTCAATGTGTCGCCGACCTGGAGGATTGAGCCCAAGAATGTGAACGTCGTTTTGGCCAGAAGTGTGTCCATTGACTGCTCGTCGGAGGGGTCGCCCACTCCCCGGATTTCGTGGAAGAAATCTATTATTTCAAATGTGGCTCAAGAGCTGAGTTTAGCCGACAAGAACGCCATCGTGTCGTCGGCGCCAGCGCTGCCAACCCTGCCCTCTGACTTCAAAGACATATTATCCAGTTATCGACATCAGGTCTATGCGAACGGAACGCTCTTTATACAAGAAGTAGACAAATCTGACGCTGGATTTTATATGTGCAAGGTAATATTAATATATGCTATTAATATTATATCCCTTTCCCATTGCACAGAATTAATGGCAATCTTTGTATTATAGATAAGCAACGGAATCGGCGCCGACTTAAGTAAAGTGATCCAACTGTACGTCCAAATGCCCCCTCATTTCGAGTCAAAGTTCACGAGCGAAACGGTCAGCAAAGGGACGACAGCTATACTGAAGTGCAAAGCACGAGGAGATCCAGTGATGAAAGCCATCTGGCAGAAAGACAAACAAGTGATCGATTCCAGCGTTGATAAGAGGTTTAGTGTGAAGGAGGAGATCATATCACCCCACAGTCTCATCTCATATCTGGAGATCGAAAATGTCGGTCGTTATGATTCGGCGCTCTTTACTTGCATTGTGTCCAACAGTTTCGGAAACGACGACACAAACATCCAGCTCATTGTCCAGGGTTTGTGTCGATTCATGAGTTTGTATGAGACAATTGTTTTAATGGTGCTATTCTTTGGATGAGCAGAAGTGCCCGAACCCCCACACGAAGTGCAAGTTATGGACATCACCAGTCGCTCAGCGGTTGTCGTATGGAAGGCCTCCTTCTCGGGCAACAACGCTGTCATCAAATATATCATTCAATTCAGAAAACTTTGTTTATTGGAAACGGATTGGGAAGAGATGGCGACAAATACTGGTAACGACTTCCGGGTGATCGCTCGTCCGCTGCAACCGATGTGTAAATACGAGCTCCAGATTAGGGCCGAGAACTCATTGGGCAGAAGTGATCCGAGTGTTATCACCACATTCACCACCAGTGAAGAGGTCCCCGGAGGACCGCCTACTGACGTGACGGCTGAGGCCACGTCCTCCACGTCGCTGAAGATCCGATGGAAACCTCCGGCAAAGCACTTACAATACGGCGCTATTAAGGGATATTATATCGGATATAAAGTGGCGAACGATAACAGCGAACAGTTCTCCTATAAGAGTGTGGAGTCGACCCCTAATAACGATGAGAACAGATATGAGATGAGCTATATATCTAACCTCAAGAGAAAGACTTATTACACGGTTATCCTTCAGGCCTACAATAGCATAGGCGCCGGTCCTCGATCTGATGAGGTATTCACGAGTTTTTGGTTGAAATTTTTTAAAGATATATTGAATTTAGTCTGAAATTTAAATATATTCAAAGATCAAAGTACTGACACTCGAGTCCCAACCCCCGCGATCACCACTACTTGAAGTGGTCACCACATCCGTCGACTCCATAACACTTCGATGGGATATCAATGAATTGGATTCAGAGGAGAAGGAGTTTGTGTTGCATTTCAAAGAGGAAAAGGCGATTCAGTGGACACAGAAACGGCTCAAAACAAAACGCAATCACTTTGTGTTGGATTCAAACGACGGCAAAACTGCCGTTAAATGCGGGACCAAATACTTGCTGTACATGACGGCCACCAATAGCTTGGGAACGGGAGAACCAAGTGAGACATCCCTTACCCCATGAATCTATTCATTGATAATTAAAACGAATTTTTGTGTTAAAAGGCGAAACCATAACGACATCGACTAAAGGTGCGGCTCCGGTATCGCCGTCGAAGGATGAGTTCATTTACCCAAACTCTACGTCAGTGGCCCTCAAACTCAACAGTTGGCTGTCCGGCGGATGTCCTATCAATTACTTCACCATTAAATACAAACTTTCACATCAAAGGCAGTGGATTATCTTAAAGGAGAAGCTGTCCAATAGATACGATCCGTTCCTTATCTATCAATTAAGTCCCGGACATGAATACGATCTCTATGTCGGCGCCCACACCGACGCCGGTATTCATTCATATGATTATCATTTTAATTACAATGAATTCTCAAATATTTTTCTCTCGTCTTAAAGGCATCACAGAAGCCGAGTATCGGTTCATAACTCCCAACACATCTCTAGTGATAAAAATTGGTTCAATAAACCCGCCGACAAGTGTGGTCTCCCAGTCGACGGCCTCCCTCTCCCTCTTCCATAACGTGACAATTATGTTACCGATTGTCATATCAATCGTAGTGTTGATCGCAGTCCTGTCCACTCTGTTTGCGTTTATGCGGAGACAGCGGTCGGCCAACCAATCCGTCAATCATATGGACCCAAGAAATTCAATACCGAAGAGCGAGCTCTCGAGCGAAATATTTCCGTTAAATGATTTCGTGAGAAGCAATTCAAAGCCCAAGATCTTCGAGAACAACATGAGTGGTCAGCCCACCGACATCTACGGCAAGACCACCTCATACTACGCCACTCCCAACCGACGCAACTCCGGCGTCAACCATCAGATGATGGGCCGACACGTGGCCAACAGTGACCACGAATACGCCGAACCGCACACACAGTACGCGCAGCCCCGGTGTCTGTTCAGCGACGACACTGAGTGCACCAATTTGTCTACCTGTGCCTTAATGGTACCCAACACTAGACTCTGAGCTCCACTTCCCCTCACTCGTGAAGCCCTATCGTGTACTTCGGACTCAATTTTATTTAAATAATTAAATTTTTATATAAATTTCAAATGATTGTCTCAATTAATTTGGATACCTTTTACGATGTATAGGATTCTTGTTTTTAAAAATTATTTGTTTTATCAAATCAACGATAACTCGCTTTTTAAAAACACTTATTAAACAAATTGTTGTCATTTTAATGTTAAACCCAATTATCTATTTATACGTTTAATGACATTATCTGTGATATTATAATTCAATTTTTTGTAATATTATATAAAAACGAGTTAATTCTCGAATTCTGTGATATTTTATATTTCAATAAATTTTAATCCAAAATAACATTAATTTTAAATTCCATTAGAAATTACAATTTTTAATAATTAATTTATGATAATATACATATAACAATCAACATTTAATTACCAATTGATGCCATAATCATTTGACTTAAGGGATGATCAACATCGTGAGTGATGGCCACGGATTTCTTCAATAATTCTTTATATTTTTGGATCAGCTTTTTGTCATCATTTTTCGATAAGTTAATTAAATCTAAATAAAAATGCAAATCCAATGTCTTTGAAGGATAATATTGTCCGTAAATGATATCCAAATGTGGCATAACTTTGGTTAGAAATGCAAATATCTTGTGGTGTGAATCGGGAAGAAATAGGAAGTCTTCGCATTACAATATATCTACCGTTGCCTTAATGTATTCATAATCCACTTCTTAATCGAGAATGTGTTCACATTTCTCACACTTGCAGACAATGAAGTACTTCTTAAGCAGTTCTTTGCGGTCAGTCTTATCGTTAATCAAATCAATAAAACTAATCGTAATCTCATCTGTCGTTGAAATCGGTTTAACGGCTCGTAATTGTAGTTTAAAACCTATTCATTGAATGGAAATTAAAGGTAAGTATCAATTGATTATATTATGTTCAAAGCAATGATACCATTGTCTACGAGAGCACTGTTTGGACAGCAGGAGTGACCCACAGATGACAACTGCGGGTAAAGACACAAATATAATGCGGAATCGAGTGAACACTTTGGCTGAAAGTCGCCGAAGATTTGCGGTTCAGTGTTAAGACATCTGGTGTTCCTCTTAATCAACGCAAACCATCGCAACATTTCTTTACGATATAACTCGTGTCCAAAGTATTCAAAACTATCGCAAATCATCTCAAACTCTTCCATACATTCCTTGGCTTCAGATATTAGGCTGACATCCACTTCCATGTCATTCAGACAGACAACTGATCCGTCAAAGAGTTGAATAGTTTGTGTGGTAAAGGATTCATCAGATTTGATGCAAAGCCAGAGTCGATGTAACAATCTTTGAGTGTCTGATGAGCTCTTTGTGCAATATCTGTTACCTCTGAAGACTTTACACTCATATTTATGACCACTTTGCCAATCCTTGAGTTGACAGTCTTTGTGGCAATAAAACATTTGCTTGCATTTTGAGCACACTTTCAACGCTACCGACTTCTTGACACAATTGTCACAAATGTGTGATTTGTATGGATTGCATATTACGTGAACCAATGGTCGGTCCACTTCTTGAATCACATCACCCGGTGATAAATGCTTGGAGAGTCTTGTAGTCATTTGTGGTTTGAATGAATGAATGTTTAATTAAAACTGCAATTAGACTGTGATTTGGGATTTTTAACATTAAATGTGTAATGATTGACTAAAACTGACCCAAATATGTGCCAAATAATGTCTAAATTACAACAAAACAAACCCTAATATAACTTAAGTCTTAACTTAAGACACTTAAGTAGTTTTCCACATAAGAATTGATTTGATGAATGATTCATTGAATGAATACTAATACTGGTATACCAATAGTACAATGATTTTTAAGATCCCAAACTTTATACACCTTGAATTTTATATTAATCATTTACCAAACTTTGTCTTAATTAATATATTTTTTAATTTTTAATCATTTTTAACTTAACATTCAACTTTTTTTTGTGTTTTAGTAATAGTCTATTAATTACAAAATAATTTATTTCAAAAATCATAGGATTGTGAATATGTATTGAATATTAGAAGTAATTTTGTATTTCAAATAAATCTCAAGAATACTGAACATAAGGACAAGAGAATGGATGCGATGTGTCACTCAAATTGTGGCATCATTTTGAAGCCGGAATCCCTCTTCTCATCCATCTCTGGACTCTCTCTTTCATCAAAGATATTCATTTGTATTTCTGATTGATTGTCGCCCTAAACACACAATTAATTGCAATTAAATGAATTGAAAAGTCTATGAGATATCATACAAAGACTGCGATGAGTGGTCCATCAGTGGACACCCAATTTTTGTCTTCCCTCATGTGTTTGAGATGACTCTTATATTTAGCTCTCTGTCGCCTCTCATAAGCGTAGAGATCACGCCTTTTAATGATTAGATGGAAATGAAGCGAATAGAACATGAAGACTATGAGAGCCACTGTGGCCGCCATTAGGATCACGAATAGTACCATAAATGTGGTCCAAAGTCTCTCGAGTGCCTGATATTGCACCACCATCTTTACACAGTTATACTATTCAATGTTGTATTTAAAACTGATTTTTATTATTTTTTAATTAATCAATTTGAATCAAACAGTTGTTACGTGTTTCAACAATTGCATGATACATGACAAATGACCATAGTATTATTGATAACATTAAACATCTCTATTAGAAAGTTTTCATTTATTTTAGGTGTATTTATTCGGTATGAAATAAATAGCTATCAATATAAAAATTTAAATACAATTTAATTGACAAATAGAGGGAATTTTAAAAATAGAATTTTTATACAAATAAGTGCTAAGAATCAGAATCTCAAACATCATTTCAATCGGATTCTTGAGTTAATTTATCCGATTCTTGAGTGGAATCAGAGTACAAAGAATCCGTTGATTCCGAATGAGAGGTATGGGATTCATCTTCAAAGGCATTGCCCGTATAGTAAAGGACAGCGTTGGGCACAAACCTCTCAATTAGGAGTTCCCCTAAACGCCACTCGCATTCATAATACGAATAATATTTGCGGTCATTTTTATCGTCATTGTTGACACTCTGTGCCGGCATGTCATCAAAGAAGTCGAAGAATGAGTTCACGTGAACCACACGCTCTGCGCCCGTCTTTTTGCTTTTGTGGATCTTTTGAGTGACATCTTTGCCGGCTTTCCATGCGATACGACTGCCTTTGCTGGAAATCGGGTGATACTGCTGGAGATCCCATGACTTTCTGTGAACATTGGGTCCAAACTCAATGTCATACGTCTTCGTGAGCACTGAGTTCTCGAAGTAATCGTTTGTTGCGAACCAGAAGTTCAGTGATATCTGCGGCGGATTACTACTGAATGTCAGCTCAATGTCCATCAGATTTAATAGGATTTTCTCGTCTTCAGGTGTCATCCATTCGTATTTCAATTGATCCACAGATTGCATGGCTTTTAACCAAAAGCCGGGAACACCTCTGATTTGCGAAACGGGTGTATTTGGAGGTATTTTTGGACACCAATTGTTTGAGTCTTCGAACCCTAACACACAGTCCTCGTCCTCGGGCTCCGCCTCTCCAGCGATAATCTGTTTTTGCATTTTGTTATACTTTGAGATCAAGTCTTGACGTTTGGCCTTCAGTGCAAACACTTCCTGAGCTAACTGTCCACTGAGTTTAAGTCTCTCGATCTGTAGTTTCTTTAGAGCCAACACTCTTCGCTTCACATTTGGATCAACTGGTGGTTCACTCACACCAGTTGTGATCTTCTTAGGATTTTTGGGCTTTATTTTAGACATTATGTCAATGAATATGATATCAATTGAAAAATAATACTAAATCTATTCAAATGCATCTAAAATAACCGTTGATTTAGATTAATTAGTATTTATTGAATTGTATGTTAAGTCAATTGTTAGCATTGGCTTTAATAGTTGTTAACAACTTGTTATATCAATTACATTATATGCCATCAATTTAAAATTCCGTTATTTGTTTGACAGTGTTTTCAAAACTAGTTTTTCAATTAAATTTTCCTCAAAATTCTAACCACCAATCCATCAGTTCCAGTGTTTATATCATATATGGAATCCATTATTAGTTCCAACAAATTGAAGCCACAGTTTACACGAATTGACTTCAAGGGGTCACTGGACAGGTATAAGACAGGACATATACACGCGGCTCACGTGCTATTCTGGACCAAAGACCGGAGGGTCGGTACGTCCTATGCGTTGATGCAAATGAGAAGCGATGGTGAAATCGGATTCCCGGGCGGAAAGTCTGATGAAGAGTTTGTCGACGAGAAGGAAGTCGTGTTCGCACTCTATCGTGAAGTGTATGAAGAGATGGACTACCGGTTGAGCGCCGGACAGATCACCGCCAGTGACCACATCTTCACTCATACCTCCAGTGACGACAAAGTATTGCACTTTTTTGTCAAACAAATACCGATTGATATGTTTGAGCGCCTGGAGTTGACCTATACCCGTGCCAAGTCCTTTCCCGAAGAGACCGTAGGTTTGATTCGCGTGCCGTTAGCCTCGACCACACCGGGAGAGACAGTATGTCAACCGGTCCGCAAGTTTTTCAAGAATTTCGGAAAAAATCAATTCTCAGGAAATGCGAGAAATCAGTTGATTGAAGCCATACATGAATTGAAACTCATGAGCGCTGAGGACATGGCGTTTGTCAACCGTATTATGGAGGAAAAGGCATTGGATTTATAAACTGATCTCCATTTGGTTAAGAAATTTGTTTTTGTTTAGAATTTGGAGTTTATTTGTATCGCAAATAAACTGATGTTTGAAACATTTGTGAAGTTTTATTTCATTTACCGGTAATTGTGTTATTGATAGCACTGTTAAATAATATACGTTTAAATGACTATGAATTTCTATCAATAGTATTGAATTGTTTTTTAATTATTTTTTAAGTGGAAATGTTATATAATCATTGAATGTAAGCATTTCCGTAGCTGACTGTCCATTGAGTTTGAGTTTTAGACTAGAGATATATTAAAAGCAATTTTTTTAAAGATATTGATTTAATTTGAATGAGTGCTGAACACTAACTGTTAATTATGGCTCAAGTAATATGAAATTGGTTTTCAGTTAAAAAAAAGATTCACAAAAAAAGTTTTTGATTTAATAAAATATTTTATTTTCAAAAAACTTAGTCTCAATTAAAAAGTCGACAACTTTTTTGATTTAATTACTGTAAATAAATGTATATTTTCATACAAAATGTTATTTGAAAACCATTCGGATTTTAAGACTAGATTTATGGCACGACTAGTGATTTATTTGGAAGACTTCTCGTCCTCTTCGGAGTCGAGTTGTGGGCAGTGGTGGTGTCGACAGCACCGGTCGCGCCGGTGTTCACTGCCTCCCGATTGCTAACACGTTATCGATATTAAAAAACACAATCATATATATAACAGTAACAAACATTTTATTTATTATATTAATTGAACAAACAAACCAATAAATATGTATAGAATTAACGTTATAAATAACAAATAGTAATAGT